TTTAGCTGGAGATGCGCTTGGGGAGCGGGGCCACCTGACTCGGGCGCCTGGCTGGCCCCACCCCCAGCGCCCGGGGTGCTCTCGAAGGTCACGGTGCCCCTCACTGAGCCAGCAGCCCCCGGCCGGGTCGGGAGCAAGAGGCAGGCGCAGCCCAGCTGGCTGCTAGCGGGGCTCAGTGGTTAGGTGTCGACCTTAGAACCAGGAGGTCAGGGCACAGGCCTGGGTTGTAGGCTCGCTCCCCAGTGAGGGGCGTGCAGGAGGCAGCCGATCAATGATTCTCTCTCATCATGGATGTTTCTCTCCCTCACCTTTCCTCTCTGACGTCAATAAAAAAATTAAAAAAAAAAAGCAGGCCCAGGGAGGGCAGTCTATGGGGTACAGCCCACTCTGAGGGCCTGGGGGGTACGGCCCTGCCCTGGTCTGGTCTGGGCAGGCAGGGTGGTGCCCAGCCCCTTTAATGGGGAAACTGAGGCACGCGGAGCTGAAAGCTGGCTTTGGACCTGTGTCTGGATCTTCACTGTGGCTGCCTGGGGCCCTGGTCAGTGTCGGCCTGAGACCCCGCATTCCAGCAACCTCCGCGGGGTGCCGCTGCTGCCGCTCTGAGGGCCAACACCCCAGCGGCACTGGTCACTGCTCTCCGCCTCCAGGCCAGGCTCTGAGGACCCTGTGACAGCCACTCCATCATCCAGTCCATTCACCTCCTCCAACCCCACCCTCCCTCTCCGCCTGACCCCCAAGCCTAGGGCCCTGCCTGGAACCGTCCTGGACTCAGGCCTGGTGTCTCCCCAGACCCCCCCTCAGCCTTCTGCCCAGATCTGAGAACAGTCCTGGCTCTGCTTCAGGGGGCACCTGGCTCCCTGCCGGCGTGGCTCAGAGCTTGAGCATCAACCTATGAACCAGAAGGTCACGGTTCGATTTGCGGTCGGGGCACAGGCCCGGGTTGTGAGCTCTCCAGTGTGGCGCGTGCAGGAGACAGAAATCCATGATTCTCTCTCTCCTCCTTTCCTCTCTGAAATCAATAAAAGTACCCCCTTTTTAAAAGGGGGGCACATGGCTGGGAAGGGTGTGGCAGAGCCAGGCTGTGGCCATGAGACCGTGTGGAATGCTGGGGAGAGGCCGGGTGGAGCCCAGCCCAGGAACATCCCGCAGCCTTCCCGCTGGCACTCCCTGCCCGCGTTCCCAGGAGGGGGAGCCCCACCCACACAGGCAGCTGCTGTTGGCACCATGGGCGCCCAACTGCAGCCAGCCCCTCACCGAAGCCACCAGCGGGCGACCAGCCC